TGGGCAGATGAAGAATACCTCATTCCTGTTGCCGACGCGTCGTCGAAGCAATGCCGGTGTCAGCTGCAACTTGTTCCGAATAGACAGATTCTGAATTGGCTTGCTTTTCATGCGTATCTGCGGCATAAACACATGCAAATTCTGGTGCATGGAGAGGGAAATTCAGGACAGTTTAGGGTTTTAATGCCAAGATGGTGAGGCTTCTGACTTGCTAGCAATGGGGATTAAGTGAGAATCTACCGAATACAGACTCTAATGCTGAAAAAACGTTCATGACCAACAGGACAGAAGACTCTGGTCATGATGACAGCACGACCAATTTGTGCAAAGTAATTCAAACCATTTTCGTGGGAATAGTATTCCAGACTACTTTTGCCGAAAATAGGTACAAGTGTTGACTGATATAGCAAATGCATGTTTCATTTAAAGTGAAGATATGTGTTGATGAAGAGCTCAAAAGATCGATCTCACAGGACGACGACAACCGATTCCCATTGGCCAGTTGTCTACCTGGAACATTCCAGAAAAGTTTGGGATTCGAAGATCCTCGAGGGTCAGCAATGTTGAAATAACTTCCATTTCAAGTGAAGGCTTGTCTCGAAGGTTGATTCAGCTTGGTGGTTTCTGAGACGATCTCACATGGGGTATCATTCCTACAACCATATTCAGGCTAATCAGTCATTAAAACTCATTGGCTTATTCTTTAAATTTTTATTTTTATCATTGATGCATTTGGAAGAAATGTAAAGTGGTTCGGTTAGTTTAAGTGATAATGCGATCAAAAAATGATGCTTGCGTCTGCTTGTGCGTGTTTTGCTGCCTTTATGTGTACGTATAGGTTCGAAAGGGACACACACATACACACATACGCTTCTAAATTGGCACATCACTCAAAATGACAAAATCAAGATTGTGTACCCTTTGACATGCTCGCGGTCTCCTTAAGTTGAAGAGAAGCGCTTTCACTCCGTTTTTCTAACTTGTTCGCGTACTGGCTTCGACAAAAAAATTTTGATGCGTTTCCCTCTTTTCGCTCATCTCATCAGCTTTGGTACTAATGATAGTTGGAAATATCTCTTGCCACTTGATTCCTTACAAGTTTCAGCATTCATCATTGACAATTTTTTCATTAACAGCGATAAATTGTTGCGCCAGAATCTCACATAAGGAAGGATGTGGAGGCCAAACTAGGCCCTTGGATTTGGATATGAGGCACTAGAGGCACTGGAAATCTGGAGAAAGCAATTATCCGACTCCAATCCTCTCCCTCCAGGCCCAGTTTCGCCGAAAGTTGCGTCTGAAGCAGCGCGGTCTATCGCAGAAACAAACAGATCTTCCTTAAGCTAATCAACCTTAAATTTCATAATACCTTAAAGAAAATGCTAATTATGTATTTAAAAGCAGTTTAAAATCATCAACCGAATAGAAGTGGTGTTGCCTTCGGCACATGATCGTGTCGTCAAGTCGACCTCGACTGACGCACATTATCCAGCCACGTCTGTTGTAGTAGTCGGGGCAATTCGCAGCATCATATCATGGGTTTGATACATTCTCAGAAGTTTCGCCGGCGTCGTAGTCGTCATCGTCAGCACAAGGCCACAACTCATCTGAGAGACAACTTTCCGCCAAACTTCACCGATTGTGTTTGAGTGGTACTGCCTCGATGGGTTGCATAATCCAGAAGTGATAATACAATCTTTGAAACGGATAAAAAATGTCAAATAG